GATAGTAATATTGAAAATGGCGTATGCCTATTTACGAGTCGTGTTCAGCTTTTATGTCAAAAAATTATTTTTGACTCACTTCCATCAAGGTACAATGCAATTTATTTCTTTTACATGAGATATTGAGTAAAATGACAATACTATGTATATGAAAGTTTTTGTAGACAACTTGAGAAGAGAATTCTTAAAATTTATTGTTAGAACTAATGTATCATCCTTTTTATGAAATTCAACACCTGCACTAACTCAAAATGTAATATACCACTTAACTGGAAGCAATATGATTTGACATTTGTCAAATGTCAGGTCACTTCTATTTATATTTCATCAAAGAAAACAATATTCTATAGATAGTTACAATCTACTTTTTTAGGCATCCGTGAAAGCACATACATCCTAAGGTGCTGATGAACAATAATGAATCATGTCACGTGCTCAGGTTTTCAACTATCGGCAAGCGATCAATAATGCTTATTCACACTATCTATGCATTATGTAAAGTGTATTGTTTGTTTTCTTTTTCACTCATACTGGGATGCCACCATTGCTAATTGCTGGTAAAGGGTTGCAATTTAGAGTATTGAGATAGAGATATTTTTCATGCCGCAAAACGGGACAAGGGAACTACGTTTATACGGTCTAATCTGAAGGACTGGTCTCAACGTTCCGCATTGAGATTCGAACCCAAAACGTAATATCAACTCCTTAGTTATCTGCAGAACTGTTGTTGTTGGTCTGATAAAATTGGGACGGATGACTAGAGAGCTACAGAGCCACCCATTAAAAAAAATATACATATTTATTGCACACAAAACTGTGGGAACGTTTCTCGATTTATACTTCTGTATGTTTCAGGTGTCATCTCAAAATACCATTAACCGTGTATTTCTAAATATTCTTTTTAACTTCAACAACAGTATATTTCTCACAATAGTTTTTAGAGAGTTACAGATCTGCAGCTACCTGCTACTCTAAAAGTCATGCTCTTTCTATCACACCCTAAGGGCGACTGTAGATTACACAAAAACAAATAAGTAGAATATACGAGCACAAAGACCACAAGCTCAAGAAATATGTCGATTGGAGTCCGAAGACCACAAGTTTAATAACTAATGTTTATTGGATTTTTCGCCACTTCCCATCAAATTATATTATGCTCAAGTAAATCATTCTTATTTTCACTTAACATACAGGTATCTAATGTGTCAATTTAGAATATCCAAGTAAAATATCTTTTTAATCATTTAAACGTTAAAACACTAGTAAATATTTCCTGACACATGAATTTAATACTTTACACGAGGTTTTCGTCAAAATATATTCTAAAATTTGCCACCAGAATTTATTTTCAGAAATAATGCAACCAAATCTGGACATTTTTTCGCTCTGTCGACTAGGAAATGTTAAGGATAACACAACAAACTAAATTTTGTAAACAAAAAATAGCCTTAAGATCCCTCAATTCACTAAATAACATAGGTAATCAAAGATAACAAAGCTCGCCGTTAACGTCATCTATACAAGTTTGTCTTTGTAGGTTTTATAGTTTCTTGGGGAATTTTCCCGATAGAAAGTTTGTTTCCATCACCTGGAAAATAATACTCAGATCAAACAGGTAGGCCAGATGCTGAATCCAAACTGTGCCTTGATAATGTACATCCCTAGCTGCATCATTCATGCAATTTTGTTTTAAAAAGACTTTATAGTTACGTTGGAATAAACCAGTTCTAAGCCTTTAATCTGGTCACTCATCTGGTCAGATCTAAACTCGTATTGAGCATCCTTTGATGCATCATCCATGCAAGTTTGGTCATAAAATGGCTCAAAGTTACTTAGGAACGGACCTGCTCCATTAACTTGAACATGTTCAATCATCCTGATAATGTACGTTAGATCCAGCATTTGAAGCAGTCTAGTACATGTAGGATGCATTTTGTGATGCACCATCCATGCAAGTTTGGTCATCAGAAGGCTTTAAGTTATTCGGAAATGAACCAGCTTCAAAAATTTTAAACTCATCTAAAGAAAATGTATGTCGGACCTAGCATCCGCAGCATCTTTGGTAGTATGCTCCCTAAATACGTCATTCATGCAGTTTGGTCACCATTGGGAAATTACTTGGGAATGGAGCTGGTACTAAAATTTTAACCTAACCTTACTCATTTAGGAAATGTATTACAGATACTTGGTAATGAACAAAAAAATTAACCTGGTCACTTTTAAGAAAATGTAGGTCAGATCCAGCATCCGAAGCATGTCATTTTGAGATAATTATATTATGCATTGGTAAAATATTGAGTTGATCTATTTCGTTTTCAGCTAAGGGCACCTGTCATTCCTCTCTCTCTCTCTCAAAATAATTGTTTGAAATGAATGATTTACAATGTCAGAAACAATGTAATGCACAAGAACAAAAAAGAGTTCAATTTTTCGCCATTTACAGTCACTTTGAATTCTTGAAATCATGATTCGGCTGACGAAAATTCAAAGGGTTCTGGCAATTGTATTGCTCAGTTGAGGACATAGGCAAAAACAGATTCCTGTAAAGTTTTGCGACATCATTACCATCGAAACCGTTATTTAATAATACTTGTGTAGGCAATCATAACAGTCACATCCACGAAAAACTTGAAGAAACCGATTGAACGAGCTCGCTGACCTTATGTTGGTGTTCCTCTCTCTTCTGCACGTGTGCGTTGTATGGCTAATTTTCCAGCACTATTACCCCTGGTCCAATGTAGCCAGAGTTTTTAAAGACTTTCTCGCAAACAAATCTACTTGTATGGCCTCCGTATAGCCCAACTTTGATCTATGGGACTAACTGGACAGTAGGGTGGTAAGGCTTAGGAATGCCCAAAGAACTCTCGAACAGCCAAGGGGTGCCTTGTTGGAATAAGGGAATAATAACCCAATGAGAAGGATAATTGCAAAAAATGAACTTCATACACAGGGGATCAAGGTTGTGATATATGCGCGAATGAGGCATTTAAGAAAATTACGAGGCTCGATGTCACTTTCGAGAGCACCGTCAAATGAATTTCAATAAACTATGAATTATAGGTCAAAATCAAATGAGATTTTGGTCGTCTGTCTATGAAAGTTGTACTTTAATGTAAAATGGCAATATTAAGGAAAAAATTAGAAAAAAAAAAGAAAATATATCAGACAAAATGAAAGAAAAAGTGAGCAAGCTCACACACCCCACGCTCCACCAAAACTCAACAATGCAACACGTAATGAATGGCACAGTGCATTTTAAATACACATTATAATTCAAAAAGGGGCGTTACTTGCAAAAAATCATCACATCAAAACTTCTCGCATATAAGGACATTCAAATCTTTGTATGTTACAAATTTAACTGGGCTGTAGTTTCTAGATAAATAATGGAATCAAAATTTCTTGGTAATATACAAATCTATTCATTATGTCTGAAATACCTACAAAGTTTCAGGAAATTCAGTGCAGGAGTTATGCTGAGAAACTGTTTTTTAAATTCCTCAGTGATTTCGATTCATTACTGAGTGTAAGTCCATGTCCAACACACGACAATTTACACATTTAAATAATTGATGGAAACAAAATTATGATGTAGTCATATGAATTTGTTTATATACTGTACTCATGAGATTATTTAAGGCAAAGCACCAATTGGGGGGGGGGGGGTGAGAACTATCCAAGATTTTGTGTGTGTGTGTGTTAAATCATTAATATTTTGATCTCAAAATCAATAGGGGTCTTTTAAGGTCATAAAATATTTGACATGAAATTTCATTACAAAAGCTGATCCCAGTGGATTTCCTTATTACCTAGCTGGAAAGTTTCTTCAATAATAGGCAAAACTCTTAGGGCAAAAATAATGGAATCGGAATTTCCTGGTAATATGCACATCTACACACTGTGTACTAAATATCTGCACAGTTTGACCAAATTCTGTGCTGCGGTTTATGAGGAGTTGCACTGACAAACTGTTCATCTCTATATTCAAGATATGGCCAAAAATCTAAGTTGAAAACTGCCGAAATTCCCAGTAAAAATAAAGGAATCGGAATTTCCTGGTAATATGCACATCTACACATTGTGTCCTAAATACTCGTATCTGCAAAGTTTGACGAAATTCTGTGCAGCAGTTAAAGAGGACTTGCGCTGACAAACTGTTCATCACTATATTCATGATATGGCCAAAAATCTAAGTTGAAAAGTGCCGAAATTCCCAGAAAAGTAAAGGATTCGGAATTTCCTGGTAATATGCACATCTACACACTGTGTACTAAATATCTGCAAAGTTTGACCAAATTCTGTGCAGCGGTTTATGAGGAGTTGCGCTGACAAAAACAAAACAGGACTGATGGACTGACTGACGGACGGGTCAAAAACATTACACCCCCCGCAACTTGTTGCGTGGTGTATAATAACATGAATAACCTCAAAACTATACCCAACAGTTTTTCCTTCAGTGTATTAAAGACCAGTAAACTGAACTCGTTTTCTACACTCTTTTGTCAACTTCCCTCATTTATGTAGCAATATACCATTATCATCTGTATAATTATATAGTTTATGTCTCCAAGTTGATTAGATATGTAAATACATGTTCTACGTAAACAATTTTCAAAACGAGGCAGTTTATTAAGAAATAAACTGATGATACAAGGATATCAAGAAAATCTGGTATAAACTCAATATTTCGCAAATTCTTTTGATGATACAATAAATGACCTTCTTTTCGAATACAATCTGTCGTTAGGTCAAATGTTGACTAACGTCATTTTTGGCCATTATTTTCACACTGAATTGTCTATGGCTTTTTCCATTTACCTACTTATGACATGGGGGACACGGCGGGTGTACATGTCGACAGGAGATGCTTGTTCCTCCTTGGTACCTGATCCCACCCCTGCTCTGTTCACCATTTGTTTTGTTTAAAAAGACTTTTTAGCAGGATCACTGTTCGTTATCTTCACATTTCATAATATAGAAGTTCAAGTGAAATTACAAACCCTTAAGGTGTTTGCAAGGTGGGGCATTCTCATAATTTCTCCATGTTTTGGAGCTTGTCCATTAAGTAGCATGTCCGTCCCATATCTGTTGTTAGGGTCAGTGAGTAAATAGGATCCTGAAATTTTAACAATAATTAAAATTTAATACTTCAGCTGGAATCCACTGTACCTGTTTAATATTCAAACATTATTGATTTCTTTTAAATAAATAGAAATCAGAACTTTTTTTTTATACATAATATTTGAAAAGTCAAATTTTGTTTTATGTCGAAAGAATTCAGCAGTGATGTGCCGCAGCTTCACTACAGTGGCTCATGAATTTGCCAGCGTTTCCCATGAATTTCAATTGATCAGTCCGTTTTTCCAGAGTGGTACAGTGATCAGAGTAAAACATTCTAATATCCATTTTTATGGCTTGTATATTTAATAGCATCTGAAGCCGCTTTTTGTTCACTTTCTTTTAAAGTTTTTTAAAACATTTTTTTCTCTTAACGTAGAACCTACGTCGTATGAGGTCATAGTTAAGTGAATGAATGCAAGACTGTCTCAGCTAATGAAAATACACAACTGTGATAAGTAAATGACATGCAACTATTTTGAAGGAATGCAAAGTTGCTAAGAAATCTTCAGTACAATATCCTGATGATATATCGTCTGAGTCTTAAATCTAAATGTTTGTATTGTCTATTATGAAATGAAATGCATTCATTTTCATAATTATTTCTTAATCATCCATTTGGATTTTTAGTGGTTTGTGTATAATAATTATAACATTTCGATAAAATACTAATTTTTTTAATAGAGATTCCATTTTTTGATAAATATTAATATTTTAAATCTGAAAGTAACACCAAAACCTTTATTTACTAGTAATCACGAAATCCTGTGTAAGTGCAAAAAGGTCAACACAAGAAGTCTGTGACCCAATGCACTAATAATACCCCCGCTCTGATGTGAATACACAAGTTCAGTAATGGACAAACACAGTGATAATAAGGAAATTGACACTGGATAAGTAAACAAGAGGCCCATGGGCCACATCGCTCACCTGAGCACTGTGGCTAGGAAAAAAAGCAAAACTCAGTTCAGTATTGAAAAGCTTACATGCATAAATGGTCCCGACCTACCCTTAAAAGGGGGGTTGGGGGTTGGTTTGGGTTGAAGGTATGATTTGAACAAAATTGAATCTACACTAACTAAGGATGCTGACATATTTCTTTGACTAACTGTTGCTTCTTTTCCTGCAAGTTTAAACTTTCATTGTTGTCCCACCCTACCCCCGGGGGTCATGATTTGAACAAATTTGAATCTACACTATCTGAGGATGCTTCCATATAAATATGACCAATCACGGCTTTGCTGTTATTAAGAAGAAGATTTTTAAAGATTTTTCCTATATACTCCTATACAAAACTTGGATCGTCCATTTGGCCCCCACCCAACCCCTGGGGGTCATGAATTGAACAAATTTGAATCTACACCACCCGTGGATGCTTCCATATAAATATGACCAATAACGGCTTTGCTGTTCTTGAGAAGAAGATTTTTGAAGATTTTTCCTTTATACTCTTTTGTTAAACTATGATCGTCCATTGTAGCCCCACCCAACCCCTGGAGGTCATGATTTGAACAAATTTTAATCTACACCACCCGTGGATGCTTCCATATAAATATGACCAATCATGGGTTTGCTGATCTTGAGAAGAAGATTTTTGAAGATTTTTCCTATATACTCCTATGAAAACTATGATCGTCCATTGTAGCCCCACCCAACCCCTGGGGGTCATGAATTGAACAAATTTGAATCTACACTACCTGAGTATGCTTCCATATAAATATGACCAATCTTGGCTTTGCTGATCTTGAGAAGAAGATTTTTGAAGATTTTTCCTTTATACTCTTTTGTTAAACTATGATCGTCTATTGTAGCCCCACCCTATCCCCGGGGGTCATGATTTGAACAAATCTGAATCTACACCACCTGAGGATGCTTTCAGATAAATATGACCAATCATGGCTTTGTTGTTCTTGAGAAAAAGATTTTTAAAGATTTTTCCTATATACACCTATGTAAAAATATGATCGTCCATTGTGGCCCCACCCTACCCCCAGGTGTCATGATTTGAAAAAACTTTAATCTACACTACCTGACGATGATTCCACATGAGTTTCATCTTTCCTGGCCCATTGCTTCTTGAGAAGAAGATTTTTAAAAGATGCCATTAATTTTTCACTATTTTGTAATTATCTCCCCTTGGAAGAGGGCATGGCCCTTCATTTGAACAAATTTGAATCCCCTCCACCCAAGAATACTCTGTACCAAGTTTGGTTGAAATTGGCCCTGTGGTTCTGGAGAAGAAGATGAAATTGTGAAAAGCTAACGCCAACGACAACGCCAACGACGACAGACAACGGACAAATTTTGATCAGAAAAGCTCACTTGAGCCTTTGGCTCAGGTGAGCTAAAAATGAATCCCAACATATGGCATGCCTAAACAAACATTGTGTTAAGATTTCAAGCACCTGTGATGAGTAGTTAGTGAGAAAACTGCGAACAAAATTTGTTATGTATGGTAAAGACAGATGCAGGGATAAACAGGAAGTTGACATCGGATTTGTACCAAAATGAATCCCATTATATGGCATGCCTAAACAAGAGTTTGCTAAAATTTCAAGCATCTGCGATGAGTAGTTGCTGAGAAAACTATGACCAAAATTTGTTATATATGGTACAGACAGACGCACGGATAAACAGGAAGTTTACATCAGATTCGTACAAAAATGAATCCCACCATATGGCATGCCTAAACAAAGATTGTGCTAAAATTTCAAGCATCTGCAATGAGTAGCTGCTGAGAAAACTACGACGAAAATTTGTTATGAATGATACGGACAGACACACGAAAACTACGACCAAAATTTGTTATGTATGGTACGGACAGACGCACGGATAAACAGGAAGTTGACATCAGATTCGTACAAAAATGAATCCCACCATATGACATGCCTAAACAAAGATTGTGCTAAAATTTCAAGCATCTGCGATGAGTAGCTGCTGAGAAAACTACGACGAAAATTTGTTATGAATGATACGGACAGACACACGAAAACTACGACCAAAATTTGTTATGTATGGTACGGACAGACGCACGGATAAACAGGAAGTTGACATCAGATTAGTATAAAAATGAATCCCACCATACGGCATGCCTAAACAAAGATTGTGCTAAAAGGAGATGGGTGAACATGACGAGCGATAAGCCTATAGTGTGACAAACATGAAGATGAAAAATTAAATTTCAATTATATCAAAATTTTCCTTGATATTTCGTCTAAAATTAAATTATACTTTATATATACTATAATTTGCAAAAATCCCTCAAAGATTGAAATTATTTGCCTGTGAAATATTAGACACACACTAAAGCGGGCAAAAAGAGTCATTTTCTCATACTATAATACTATTTTTCGATATGAGTGGGTCTTCGCTCCACCTTTTTGAAAGTTAATCCCCAAAATTTGCATAAAAATATACATTTTTTGGTTACCAAAAATATGGAGCAATGACCCACTATACCTTAAAAATATACTTTTATGGCATAACATTCGCATCTTTTCGAGAAATACCTGAAGTCCATTAAGTCAAGGGTCATATCACAAACATGATTTAAATGCCACTATTCATCAGGACTTGTGTAGTCTAGTGGTTAGCGTGCTAGTCTCGAAAGAAAATAATACTCAGGATTTCTATTGCTAGGGTTCGAACCCACGAATGCCACATTAATTTTTTTAATAAAAGAATTAATTTTGCCGAGAAAATTTTCCTCAGAAAAGTTTTGTTTATCATAATTTCATAAATTTCAATAATGAGAACTTTACTCTAAATACTAAATTCACAAACTGAACATGATTTTTATATATCTGAAGCTATAGGCTTTCTGCACGCTATGTTCGCCCATCTCCTTTCAAGCATCTGCGATGAGTAGTTGCTGAGAAAACTACGACCAAAATTTGTTATGTATGGTACAGACACACGCACGGATAAACAGGAAGTTGACATCGAATTCATACAAAAATGAATCCCACCATATGGCATGCCTAAACAAAGACTGTGCTTAAATTTCAAGCATCTGCAATGAGTAGTTGCTGAGAAAACTGCGACCAAAATTTGTTACAGACAGACAGACAGACACAAGGGTAAAACAGTATACCCCCCTCTCCTTCGGAGCGGGGGTATAATAACTAGTATTGATAAAAAAAACCCATCTCTCTCATTAGTTTGCGGGGAAAGGTATATATTTTAATCATTTTTCATAATCATTTGGGTATGTTCTTCATCATATTAAGGATTGAAAACACTGTCACGAAGACTTTTGGTAAATATTTACAAATTTAGGGTTGTAGATGGACTAAAAAATCCTTTGAAAAATATTGAGCGCATTTGCGTATATTTATTGAAATGTGGATTTAATCTTTAATGTCAATTGAAGAAAAACGAATTTAATTTTTAATAATATTTGTATCTATTCTTTAGTTAATAAAGTCTATAAACAAAGGTGTTTGAAGAAGTATTTTTGTGATTTTCTATATTCTCCTTATGACCATCTACCCCTAAAAATGGCTGAAAATTATAGTTGCAGTGTATAATAATCATTCTAAATTGCGCCAGCTGCACTACATTTAATAACAAGGAAACATGCCATGTATTTTTAACTGATTAATAAGCAGGTGCTAATTTCTCATTTTGAAAAGTTTGAAAACCCTGTGACTAAGACTTTACTGATATAGGTTCTACTGTAACAAATCAGAATGAAAAGTTGGTAAAAAAAAAAATTAAAACAAAAATTTACATCATATATTACCCCTCCTCCCCATAAAAAAGCAACAAAAATAGAAAATCTTGTTTTTAGCAACTTCAATACTTATTGATACTATTTCGTTATTTTAATGAAAAGCATCAGTCATCAGATCAATATGTTAAGTTTGTAAGGGACAATGTTATTCAGTTTGCCCTAATAAAAATTAAGCAGGTTAAGAGTCTTTTGAAAATAATTTAGCTTTCTCAAAAAAAAAGTATAAGTCCACATTGTACTATAGACATATAGCATTTCCGATGGGTTTTTTAAACATACAAATACCGTTTTCACAATTTATACAAATGCAAATAAAATAATATTTCCCACATTAGAAAAGTGGCCTCCAGTACTTTACAGGCACAGGTCAAAAAAAAATCAAAAGCTATTTAAAATTTCATGCAACACAAACAAAAAAATATTTGATAGAAGCAGATAACAGTTGACCACTTATCTCATGTGACCCCAAAATGTTACTAATACAGCACAAGACCTTTGTTCCAAAATGAAGCAGTAAGCTCTTGGACTGGGTACCCTGTCTCTGCTAACTCTATGGCAGGATCCAGTATCTCCAACATTGAAAGCTTAAACAGAAACAAAAACACATCAAAATTCACATAGATTGTTCAAATCATGGCACGGTAGAGTGGGCTACAAAACATCATGATTAACATATTAATATACACAACAGCATCTCCCAAGGGTAGGGTGGGGCTTCAAAAGTACATACAAATATATAGGAATTTTAAAAAAAAAAAAAAAATCTTTTCAAGGTCTATTTACAAGAATATAAATCCTGATTTTCTTTAAGAAACACAAAACAATAAAAGTTAAAGAAGACAATGTTGAAAATTTTGGATTGATACGTTAATAATTTGTCAATTTATCATTGAATACAACAGTCTATAAGAGTCAATAAGGTTTCCGTGTCTATAAGAATTGCGAAAGCATAAAATCACAACCGTCATCCATGGCGCTCAGAATATGAATGGACGAAGCCCCCTCGTCTGATATCTGAAGATACACTCATTAAAAGGTACTCTATATATTACTTATATCAGTTAGGAAACCTATGGTGGCATATTTCTGCCCCTTGTGTGCAAGTTATTTTTCTATGAAATATGTCGACATGCAAGATAAATATGTTGACATGCAAGATAGTTATGTCAACATGCAACATAAATATGTTGACATGCAAGAAAATTGGAGTCAAATAAAAATTATAAAAAATCTTCAAAAATCTCAAATATAGCCCACATGTGACATCCAACATGCTGGATGCTACTTATTTATGTTAACATGCAACTTATTTATGTTAACATGCAAGATAAATATGTTGACATGCAACATATTTATGTCGACATGCAACTTATTTATGTCGACATGCAACTTGGTTATGTTGACATGCGAGATAAATATGTTCACATGCAACATATTAATGTCGACATGCAACTTATATATGTTGACATGCGACTTATTTATGCTGACATGCAACTTAATTATGTTGACATGCGAGATAAATATGTCGACATGCAACTTATTTATGTCGACATGCAACTTATTTATGTTTACATGCAACTTATTTATGTTGATATGCAACTTAGTTATGTTGACATGCGAGATAAATATGTTGACATGCAACTAATTTATGGTGACATGCAAGATGAATATATTGACATGCAACTTATTTATGTAAACATGCAACATATTTATGTCGACATGCAACTTATTTATGATGGCATGCTGTTTGTTTGAAAGAGGGTATAGTTTAATCAAAATCTGTGGTTGCAGTGAATGAAAAGCTTAACCTCTGAACGTTCATCTGGTCTCTACACAACTGACAAGGTAAAACTTTGTTTTAGATCTGATATAAAACTGATATTGGATGTAATGAAGATCTTTTGGTTGATTAATCTGGTCTTTTGTATAATCCTTACTGATAATAATTCTTGGTGTCAATATCTCTTTTAGTCATAGTGTCCAATTCTTAAATGATATGTGCACTTCATGTAGCTATTATTTGATCAAACATAGTACTTTTAGTACTTCACTATCTTCAGTGGCGGATCCAGGAATCTTGAAAAGGGGGGCCCCGACCAGTTTGTGGTCGGGGTAGGGGCACACGATCACACCAAAAAAATTGATTTATTAAATCTTATGTATATTTGGGACACAAAAGGGGGAGCCCGGGCCTCCTGCCCCCTCTAAATCCGCAGTGCTATCTTGCATAAGTTTAATTGAATTGCAAATTTTTTATACAATAAACTCTTACATGCCAAATCGTGGTGTATTTATAGAATGATTTAGTTTGATGTACATTTACACATGTAGAAAGCGAAACAAAAATTCACTGTGTATAAAGTATTTTCCCCCCATTTTTTTCAGCGACAAAAATACTATGGTTGAAAATATCTATACACCTGCTCTGGCTCAATGTTTGGTTGTGGACGGACTATCTCTCAGTAGGAATGAAATGATTGCTGTTTATTACCACTCTGGTTATACTATTCAGGAAATCATTGGATTTCTTGAGAGCAAACATAACACTGCTCTTAGTGCAAGACAAATTCATCGAGTTTTAAGGGAAATGAATCTGACGAGACGAAACAACCAGCCACGTTTGGAGGACATTGTAACGGCTATTCTACATGGACTTTCAGGCTCGGACGGTGACATTCGCTATAGAGGAATGAGGAGACGTCTGCTAATCGACCATAACCTCAATGTGTCTTGTGAATTGGTGCGCCTTGCATTAACTGTTTTGGACGCAGAAGGTGTAATAAGGCGTAGACAACGTCGTCTTCAGCGTAGAAGGTACATTAACGAAGGGCCTAATTTTTGTGTTCATCTAGATGGCTGGGACAAGTTAAAACCATTCGGAATTTCCATTCATGGCTGTGTAGATGGCTTTTCAAGACGTATTCTCTGGCTCAGAGCTTGCAATTCTAACAAGAGGCCCATGGGCCACAGCGCTCACCTGAGTAACTTTGGCCTTGCTGTTTTTCACCTGATTTCTCCCCCCCCCCCCTGTAGTACTTATTGTGGCTGTGGCCCCGCCCTATCCCCAGGGGTCATGATTTGAACAATTTGAATCTACACTACCCCAGCATGCTTCCAAGTAAGTTTCAGCTTATCTGGCCCAGTGGTTCTTGAGAAGAAGATTTTAAAAGATTTTTCCTATATATTTCAATGTAAAACTTGGATTCCCTATTGTGGCCCCGCCCTACCCCCGGGGGTCATGATTTGAACAATTTAGAATCTACACTACCCCAGCATGCTTCCACATAAGTTTCAGCTTTTCTGGCCCAGTGGTTCTTGAGGAGAAGATTTTTAAAGATTTTTCCTATATATTTCAATGTAAAACTTGGATTCCCTATTGTGGCCCCGCCCTACCCCCGGGGGTCATGATTTGAACAATTTAGAATCTACACTTCCCCAGCATGCTTCCACATAAGTTTCAGCTTTTCAGGCCCAATGGTTCTTGAGAAGAAGATTTTTAAAGATTTTTCGTATATATTTCAATGTAAAACTTGGATTCCCTATTGTGGCCCCGTCCTACCCCCGGGGGTCATGATTTGAACAATTTAGAATCTACACTACCCCAGCATGCTTCCACATAAGTTTCAGCTTTTCAGGCCCAGTGGTTCTTAAGAAGAAGATTTTTAAAGATTTTTCGTATATATTTCAATGTAAAACTTGGATTCCCTATTGTGGCCCCGCCCTACCCCCGGGGGTCATGATTTGAACAATTTAGAATCTACACTTCCCCAGCATGCTTCCAAGTAAGTTTCAGCTTTTCTGGCCCAGTGGTTCTTGAGAAGAAGATTTTTAAAGATTTTTACTACATATTTCAATGTAAAACTTGGATTCCATATTGTGGCCCCGCCCTACCCCCGGGGGTCATGATTTGAACAATTTAGAATCTACACTACCTTAGGATGCTTCCAGATAAGTTTCAGCTTTTCTGGCCCAGTGGTTCTTGAGAAGAAGATTTTTTAATGACCCCACCCAATTTTTGTATTTTCTTGATTATCTCCCCTTTGAAGGGGACTTGGCCCTTCATTTTAACAATTTAAACTCCCCTTCACCCAAGGTTGCTTTGTACCAAGTTTGGTTAAAATTGGCCCAGTGGCTCTTGAGAAGAAGTCGAAAATATGAAAAGTTTACAGACGGACGGACAGACGGACGGACAGACGGACGGACGACGGACAACGGGTGATCAGAAAAGCTCACTTGAGCTTTCAGCTCAGGTGAGCTAACAAAAACCTTGAGTATATATCTAGATTTTATATAGATTATATCAAAGAAATAAACGGGGTTCCTGTAGTCGTATACGCAGACAGGGGTACTGAGAACTCCATAGTTCGAGATTTGCAATACGCTTTGCGATGGAATCACCAGGATCCCTTGCAAGGACTATCAAGTTTTAGGTATGGATCGTCATATAGAAATACAAGAATAGAGCGATTTTGGTGGTGTTTACGAGAAATGTGTGGCAATTTTTGGATAAATTACTTTAAGGATATGGATAACTTAGGTGTTTTTGACACCTCCGACATAGTCCACCTGGAGTGTGCTAGGTATTGTTTCTTACCAATTATCACCAGAGAATTGAACAGAGTTATACAGCATTAGAATGAACACACAATTAGAAAAAACCGCAATGCAGATTGTCCGTCTGGAAAACCAGATGTTATGTATTTTCAGCCCGAAATTTACCAAACAAGAGATTTCAAAATGCCTGTACCTGATAATCTGAATGGCATAGAACAAGAATATTGTGCCTACCCTCCTGCAAATGGTGTTTCAATGGAATTTGGAGTTATTGGTACTCAAATAAGAATGGAAAACGGTTTGAATTACCCACCAAACACTGTAGAAGAAGCAACAGAACTCTTTATCCGAATAACAGACTATGTAGATCGCTTATAAATTACATTTACTTGACTCTTGTTGTTTTAAGGAGGTACATTTTTCTTTATGTTCCGAATGTTATTTGATAAAGGAATGAGAAATTGTATCTTTGCGAGGTTTTGTGTATTTAATTGCAAATGTGTATTTCTAGTAAAGTATATCTATTAATAGTACATAATGTTAGTAATTCCTTTTTTAGCTCACCTGAGCTGAAAGCTCAAGTGAGCTTTTCTGATCACATTTTGTCCAGCGTCCGTCTGTCTGTCCGTCTGTCTGTCTGTCTGTAAACTTTTCACATTTTCGACTTCTTCTCAAGAACCACAGGGCCAATTTCAACCAAACTTGGCACAGAGTATTCTTGGGTGGAGGGGATTCAAATTTGTTCAAATGAAGGGCCATGCCCTCTTTCAAGGGGAGATAATTAGGAATTAGTGAAAAAATAATGGCATCATTTAAAAATCTTCTTCTCAATAACCATAGGGCCAGGAAAGATGAAACTCATGTGGAAGCATTCTCAGGTAGTGTACATTCAAGTTTGTTCAAATCATGACCCCCGGGGGTAGGGCGGGACCACAATGGCGGATCAAAGTTTTACATAGAAATATATAGGAAAAATCTTTAAAAATCTTCTTCTCAAGAACAGCAAAGCCATGATGAGTCATATTTATAT